AAAGAAGGGAATGGAATTAATATGAGAAAATGAAAAAATGGAAACAAAGTCTTTATAAATAGGGAGGAATGGAGGGGTTGAAGGGAGAGCAGGGGAAGGGGAAAAAATAAGAACCAAGAGAGATTACATAAAGGTGCAAATTTCCAATGATGAATGTCATTGTATTGTATACCTAAAATGTACCAATAAAAGGATATACAGAAAAAAAAAGAAAGGAAAAAGGATTCCAGTGACATAGAAGGAGAGCAGAAAGGGCCAAGGAGGGTAAGAGGAGCATGTCTGGGGGCAGAGGGAGGAGGCAGAGTGTGGAGCAAGGGCAATGGTGGGGAAGCACAAGTCAGGAAGCGCCCCAAGAGCTCATGTTCCTGGAGTGAGAGCTAGGGGAGGTGAAGAGAAGGAGGAAGGTCCTGATGCCGGCCTGAGCAGTCCTTCTAGCTCACTAGACAAGGGCCCACTACTGGCTTCTTTGAGCGACGAGGTCAGAGCAGGGCTTTGAGAAGCTGCCTGTGGATGGCAGGGATAAGAAGCATTGGATGAAGCAAGGTGAAGATCTGGCTGTCAGGTGGGAGATAGTTCCCATAACCTGGGGTACAGAAGTGAGGATGAAAAGAAAAGTATGGTCTCAAAGTGTGCCACCACAGCAGAGCCAAGGAGGCTAGATAGAGTACTTCATAGAGGACAAGGAGGGAAATATCAGAGTCCAGGGGTGAGCTAGGTCTTGGTGCTGGTGGATGAAGACACACTGGTTCTAGTAAGAGGAAAAGGAAAATAGACATAAGAACATTTAGGAAGATTGAGAAGATGATCACAAAACATAATAGTGGCAGAACTGCTTTGTAATTCATCAATTAGTCCAAAATGGGGCTGATGCTGTTGGAATCAGAAGATAAAATAAATAAAGGAACACAGAAGGAAAGAGATATCAACACACTTGTTGAGGATCTGGGGTTTGGATGTCTTGTATCAAAAATGCCAGTATCTGTGAAAAGTTGTCCTCATAAAGATGGAGGTTCAGAACTCTCTCCAAAGGAGCAGGTGGGCTAGAGATCCATGTATGGGCATCTGCTGCCCAGAAAGCTCAGGAACTTCTCAAGAGGATGAGCTGATCAAAGGATACAGTGGATAAGGCAATGGGGAGCAAGGAGCAGATTGTTCCTTACTTCCATTAGAACTAAATTTTAGTCAATTTTTCTTCATTTCCCTGTTCAGATTCTAACAAAGTGTTATAAATTTGGATATAAAAGTATGAATTTCAATTTTGTTTCTTCTCCCTTAATTCACCTGATGAAAGATATTATGTACTTTTTTTTGAAGAATGAAATGAAACAAGAAAAAAAGCAGAAGTAAAAGGCTTGAATTAGCTGCCAACAAATAATCAATTCTTTAAGAGTTTGCTGGACATTTGTCAGCAAGACCGTTAGCCAGCAAATCTGATAGTGGTCAAAGCCCAGATACACCACCTCCTTCTCTGCATGGCTGGCTGACAAACTGGAGCAAACAAAATCATTCTTCGAAATAACCAAAGAGAAAACAATTTGGTGATTTCCTTCTTGGTATCTCACCAAAGAGCTATCTGCTTCCAGCTGAATGAAAGCACAGTATTGAGAAGAACTCACTGTTTCAAAGCACACTGGCAATGTGGTGGGTAGCCCTGTGCACAAAGTCAAAAAGAATCCATGACTAACTATGGTGGACAGAAAACAGGGGGCAAGATTCTCTGGCCTTCCCCATTCAGTTTTTCCCTTCATTCTCCTGGTAGTTTTTGAGGTCCTACTACACGCAAGACACTGCACATGGCCATGCCATGATTGAAATAAATGTTACATATCTTCTACAGCATGCTCAGGGGGACAGAGAGAAGGCTGTGCAGTATCCTGGGAAAAATGAGAGATACACTCTAGGGGACAGGGTAAGCAGCTACACAGATGAATGCAATATGCTGTCCCCTCCAGGACCTCGTGGACAATCAGACACAGGCCAACACTTGCTTTGAAAGTAGTCTGGGGGAGGGAAAGCAGAGTGCTGGGAAAAGGCATGGGTGGAGGGTGCTCAGAGAGGGAATAATCAGCAATGGACCCGAAGATGACACGGAGAGACCAAAATTACTGTGAATTAACAGATCTGGTGAGTACCCACTCGATCCTAGCGACTACCCTGAGAAATAGCATTTATTGTCCACACTTATCAATGAGAAAACAGAGACTCAGAAAGATTAAGTGGATTTCTTCTTACTAATAAGTAGTTGAGCTGGATAGCCAAAGTTTTCTAACCTTACATCCAATGCAGAATTCTTTTTATTACACAAATGTAGCAGGAAAGAACACACACATGTGTGTGCAGATAGGCTATTCTGAAGTTCTGAAGTTCAGGTGGTTGTTTGTTTTTATGGTGCTTGGGGTTGAACCCAGTGCCTCACACATTCTGAGCAAGTGCTCTACTACTGAGCTACACCCCCAGCCCTTTGTTGTTTTTTTTGTTTTGTTTTTTTTTGAGACAGAGTCTCATTAATTTGCCCAGACTGGCCTCAAACTTGCAATTCTCCTGCCTCAGCCTCCCAAGTAGCTGGGATCACAGGTGCGCTCCACCACACCTTGCTAGGGGATCATGTTTGATTGGAGGGATCTTATAAGGCTTCAAAGAGAAAGTGGTGTCTATGCGAAGCTTGGAAAGTAGGTTGGAAGCAAAATGACCTGCGAGACAGGGCAGGAGAGATGGGAGAAAAGACAGAATTGGAAGTTAGTGGAGCACTCTCTGGTGTCCCTCTAACACCTGTGATCCCCCTGAGAAGAAGACGAGAAGATGTGGGGAGAGAGATTGACAGGGGTGGTGGCATTTCCTATGCATCTACAGGAGTGAACAGGGGCTCAGCAGGAGCAGCTGAAGGACCCCCAGAGCAGAGCTGTCCCAGGATAACTTGACTGAAGGGTCAGCAGTGTTACTGGTGCCAACTGCAGTGCAATGTAGGGTCTTCTTGGGTGCAGACAGGTTCATGCTATTTGGTCTTTACTAGCATAAAAACAAATAATAAAAAGGAAATACATGTTTAAGAATGAAAGGTAAAGGGAGGGAGGATGGAGGGAAGAGCAGACTGGCTTAGTTATCCCAGTGGTGGGATTCTATTTGGCTCCACTTCTGTGACTTTGGCCTGTTGGTTGATTTTCTGTGAATCAGTTTCCTTGTATATGAAAAATAGTAATTTCTAACCCTGCTCACAAACGATTGAGAAGTTAGAAACGAACACATATGAAAAGTGCATAAACTTCCCCCAGAGATGGACCACTAGCAGTCGCCTGTTTCTGTGTGTGGGGTGGTGGTTGAATATATGCATGTAGTTGGGTAGCATGGTCCCAGAGCCACAAGTCTCTTGCCAAGCACGCTGGCTTGAGAATTCATAGCAAGGGCTCTGAGTCACCAGATCTCAGAGCTAACTCGGGGCTATTGTCTGAAAGAGAGTGTTCAGTGCCCAGGCTTTGGGCAGGACATGTCTCCAGCAGCACTTCCCAGCGCCTTTCCAGGGGAATCAAACTGCTGGGCAGGACCAGCACCTTCACATCTGAGATGCAGGTGCCTTGGGCACCCGCACTGTCCACCCTCTGTTGCCTCAAGGAATCTGAAAGTGATGTTCTCAAGCCCACACCATGCAACTGGGCAGGATTTGAGGGGCTCCATCCCTTCCAAAGAGAGGGTAACCACACACCCAAACCCTCTGAGCCCCATTTTAGGCCTGCCACTCCTGTGTAAGTATTGCTAGCAACCTCTTCCTTCCCAGAAGTGCCCCTGTCTGGATGATAAATGTAGGGTCTTCTTGCCCATAAACTACCCCGAAAAACCTCCTGGGACCCTCTTAGGAGGTCTGCTCTGACCTTTGCTACTACTTCCCACTGCTTCGTTGGCTAATCTTCCTGTCTTCCACCCCAGGTGCACAGCGTAATGTCCATGTTGTTCTACACTCTGATCACAGTGTTTCTGATCGGCATCCAGGCAGAACCCTACTCAGACAGCCATGTCCCATCAGGAGACACCGCCCCCCAAGCCCATTGGACCAAACTCCAGCACTCCCTTGACACCGCCCTCCGAAGAGCCCGCAGCGCCCCTGCGGCACCGATAGCTGCCCGGGTGGCAGGGCAGACCCGCAACATCACTGTGGACCCCAGACTGTTTAAGAAACGGCGACTGCACTCGCCCCGCGTGCTCTTCAGCACCCAGCCCCCGCCCCTGGCTGCAGACACTCAGGATCTGGACTTGGAGTTGGCTGGTGCGGCGTCCGGCAACAGGACTCACAGGAGCAAGCGGTCCCCCACCCACCCGGTCTTCCACATGGGGGAGTTCTCGGTGTGCGACAGCGTCAGCGTGTGGGTTGGGGATAAGACTGTAGCCACGGACATCAAGGGCAAGGAGGTGACAGTGTTGGCAGAGGTAAACATTAACAACAATGTGTTCAAACAGTACTTTTTTGAGACCAAGTGCCGGGATCCCAGTCCCGTGGACAGCGGGTGCCGGGGCATTGACTCCAAGCACTGGAACTCATACTGTACCACGACCCACACCTTCGTCAAGGCGTTGACCACGGATGACAAGCAGGCTGCCTGGCGCTTCATCCGGATAGACACAGCCTGCGTGTGCGTGCTCAGCAGGAAGGCATCCAGAAGAGGCTGATCCTCCTGCAGCCCCATTCCCCACCCCCTCCACACTCCTGGGCCCCTCCCTACCTCAACCTGTAAATTATTTTAAATTATAAGGACTGCATGGTAATTTATAGTTTATACAGTTTTAAAAAATCATTATTTATTAAATTTTTGAAGCATCCCATGTGCTGGCACTGGAGTCCTTTTCTCAGGATTGTTTGCAAGCTTTGGCAACATGCAGGCTGAATTGTCCCCTGCAATGCCTAGTCCTTCCTGAGGCCCAGCTGTAAATACAGGCCACTCTCTCACCCCAGCCATAGCACAAAGACTTCAGGGAAGGGAGGTTAAGTGGTTGCAGATATTAGCCTAAGTGGAGCATGATTAGGAAGGGGTATCTGAGGACTGTAACTTTGTTCTACATTCCAGAGCCAAATCTACCTAATCCTTGGATTACCTACCCCACAGCCCAGATTGGAGCTTTGATTGCTTCACTTGGGGAAGTTGGTGGCCTCTCATCAGAAGAAAGATCACCGTTGCCCCCGACCTCAGAGAGGCCCCAACGGGATCCGGGGGAGACTCACTGTGTAGAAAGGAGGAGGCCTGCACCAAAGCCCTGGGAAGCTGCTTGTTTTTAGGGGGAGATCTGCTGTCTGGAAGAGTCGTAACAAAATAATCTCACAAGGCCTGTCACGGTAGATCTGATTTCATGTTACGATTGCCTCAGTGCTGATGGCTGCTCCTCCGCTTATCCCTGGTGGCTTTCTGCCGAAAGACTTCATTACCCCGGGAAAACATTAGGGCCTCCGACACTCTTGCCACCCACGAGCAGCCCCACCAGCAACTTCCACTGGCCCCACCATCAGCTCACAACCAGAGAAGCCAGGGACTGTGCTTTTGAAAGCATTTTTATTCTTAATGGGATGATTTCCATAGGTGGCCGAAGGTGGCTGGGGCCATGAGAGTGGTGACGAGGATGGAAGGAGGACGGAACTAAATGGAGTGCGCACCAGCAGCAAGTCCAGGAAGCTGCAGGCCAGACAGGAGCTAAGCCAGGAGGCAACAATGGCTCTGTGCTCCTCCTAATAGCCAAAGGAAACAGGGGAGGCAGCAAGAAGGGCCAGACAGGTTATGAGCAAGGGGGAGGAAGAACAGAGCAGCAGAGGGGAGGCATCCTCTCATCTTTACCCAACCCTCCAGGAAGTCCAACACCCTTTGGATTAGTAGCTTTGCGGTTTTGTTTTGGTTTGGTTTGGTTTTTTTGGTTTTTTATTAATTGTATTGGTACATTTTAGGTACACAATAGAATGACATTCATCATTGGAAACTTGCACCTTTACGTAATCTCTCTTGGTTCTTATTTTTTCTGCATGTTTTGTTTTGTTTTTAATGTGCTCAAGAACACTGGATGTCTCACAGGCAAATTAGAGAGAGATGAAAGTGACAGACAGACTGCAGGATCCACTCCGAAGCAGGGTTTGACCCAGCCTCACTCTTCCACCTTCTCCTGCAACCTTCCTTCTGTATTTTTCCTCGAGCCCGAATCCATATATTCCACATGGAAATTTTACTCTCCTGTCCATTGTCCCCTTTTTCTCCGAGGATAAAATGCCTACTCTGGGTTTAAGACAACAGGACCAAGTTGTCCAGTGGCTAAAAAAGCAATTGGTGGTGTTCATTTCTTCTACAACTCTGACTGTCCTGCTCCACCCCCAACCCAATCCAAATAGGGCAAATTGGAATGGCAGGGAGCTTTGGCACGAGAACCATTTGATTAGGGGAAAGCATGATGAAATGTGCCCTGTTTTTTCTATCAAAGCTACTACAATTGGAATAAAGATTTATATTCAAGAAACACCAACCAGAACATTCTGTGCTGAGATGCTTGGTCAGATAAAGGCCTCAGAAAGGGAGCCCTGCCACTGACCTGTGTCTGTGGGTTTTTGCAGAGTTCCGGTGCCAGGGGCTCAGCTGTCCTCAGCTTCTTCCACAGACAGATTCTAGGGCTCTTTTCTTTGTGGCTGGACAGGGCTGCTGGGTGCAGAATATGAGGAAAGAGTAGTGGGGAGGGAGGCATTCGGAAGCTCCTAGCGGGACAATTCTGACAAGAGCTACTCCCAGCGCTGCAAGACTCTTGGGACATCTGAAAAATGTCTGGCTCCCGAGGCCTGCTTAGAAGAAAGACTTGCCATCTAAATCTCTGAGAAAGAACGGAGACCGAAGGCACCTTGTTTCCATGCATTTTGCTGGTAAGAGGAGGCCCCCTTCACCCCCAAAACACTGCCCACTTTGCCAAAGGCGGAACTCATTTCTGCAAACCCTCTGGAGTCCCAGCATGGGAGCCAATGTTTTCTCACAGTACCAGGGGATATCAGTTTGGCCAAGCAGAGTCAAAGCGGTCCAAGAACAACTCCGTGCCTGGTGGTTTCCTCAGCTTGGACTCTACCCCCCACATAGGGGGAGCTCAGGGTTTCAGACCCACCCGGCTTCCCCTGAGAGGCCAGCCAGGTCATCAGGCTGTAGCCACTTGAGCACTTGAAGAAACAGCCCCAAACTTCCCCTCACATTCTGCTGAGGAGCAGCAGTACGTCCTTTTACTTGCCTTCCAGTACCTCACTGAGACTTTGCTGCCTAGGGTCCCCAAAAGGCCAGAGAGGGAAAGCAAGTACCCTCTCCTCTGGCAACTTCCTCCCCCGGCAGGCAAGCAGGTGTTCTCCAGTAAGCAAAGAAATCTAGTGCTCCCCACTCATCCTCAGCCCCGAGCAGACCAACTCTCCCAGAAGGCTCCAGTGTGCTGTGCTGAAGGCAAAGTGTCTGGTTCAGGAGGTGACAGCAGGTTGAGGCCCAGGACTCCAGGCCATGTTCCCAGTTCATTCCTTGAACCTCCCTTCCCCCAGCCAGAGTGCCAGCCTCCCCAGAACTGCTTTCCCTCCTAGCAGGAAGCTGCCATGGGGTGCAGGTTTTCAGCAACTATCAAGCAGTTAGATTTGATTTCTCCTAAAAATCTTCTGCACCTTGGGGGAGGATCTGTCCCACATCTAGAATAGAGGACAGCAGGCAGGGTGTGTATTCTTTGCTCCTGGAAGAAAAGACAGACAAGGGAAGCAGAACAGAATGGGAGCACAGGAACCTGGATTCAGATTGACCTCAGTCTTCCCACCAAAGCTTAGAATAGAACAGTGGGAGGCACTGGGCCACTCGGAGTGAAGGTCTAAGCCAACCTGGGGGGTAAGGAAGCAGCCCCTGTGTGATTGTGCATACTGGGATGCCATCAGCAGAGCTGGGTGCTAGGCTCGGCCCCCCCCCATTCCTCTCCATGAAACCTTGGCGAGCCTTAGCTTCTCTTAGAACCTGGTTTTCACAGTTGTGGAATGAAAATAGTCATTCCTATGTCCAAGGGTTGTAAGCACACAACAAAACGGTACTTGAAGCCAGTGAAGTCCTATGCAAATATGAAGCAAAGTAATTTATTCCAAACTTAGCAATGCTGGTATTGATTTAGTAGAGAAGCTATGATGGTGCTCACTAGATGTTTGCTTAGGTGTTTTTTGGTGAATATGTAGATCAGGTAAGGAAGCCTAGTAGTCAGAAGACATCGTGAAATATGGTTGTAATAGAACCAGGCTCGAGAGGGTAAGAGCAAGAATGGCAATTGTTCAGCTTCACTCTGGCCTGAATATGGCCTCAAGGAAGCCATCTAGTTTCTAGAAATTCTACTGTAGTGAGTAAGAGCATGAGCTTTGGGGTCATGAAAACCAGGCATTCCTATTAAGGCTGTGTCACCTTAAGCACTTTGCTTGACTTTTCATAATTTCTTTATTTGTGAAAAGCAAACAATTACAATGTTTTTCTCAGTGCTACATCTACATCTATATCTATGTCTATATCTATATCTGCCTGGCACTTAAGGAGCGTATAAAACATTTTAGTTTTGAAAAGCAGAGTTGTCTGAAAAACCCTAAAAGGATATTAGAATGACTGGAATAGCTTTCCACAAGGCAAGGAGTTTCATGAGCAGGCAGTTTTACAGCTGAATTGTAGGCTTCATGCAGTGACAAGCAATAATGACCTGCTATTAGTCGCTGAGAGCTTGCAGTATGCCCACATGGGCCCGAGCACTTTGTGTGCATTATGTCTGAGCAAGCTTTGACACTCTGAGACCAATGACCACCTTATATGGCCAGGAAGGCTGTACTTTCTGCTTGCATGCAGCACAGCCAGAACTCTGGCTCCACTGTTCTCTGGGAAGTTTACTCCCCCCGCCTTTGGCAAGTATAAACCATTGGCTCTGAGTGTTGCCTCGTGTCAAGCACATGGGGTGTGTTCTGCTGCAATTCACTTGGGTCTTCAACTTGAGAAGCTCTGGCCTTCTCAAGGTTCACCCGGGCTTGTGGAGATAGCTCAAGGGACTGAGGTCAAGAGTAAGTTGGGAAGACCTTCCTCCATCCACAGCAGAGGGGAGTCCTCCACCCCAGGGCTGCTCCCTAACATACAGATGCATTACATCTGTGTCCCTTCAGCACTGAACCTCATGTGGCATGCCGCAAATACTCAATCAGTATCTTGGAACAGGTAAGGCAGAATTTAGTTCCCATCTCTCTCCAGAGCCACCACCTACCCCTGTGTCCTGTGTCCCAAACCAACCCTGTGTAAATGGGGTGAGCGAAGACAAGGCCCTTCTGGAGGCCACAGCATGGCAGGCATCTGAGTTCCTTTCAGAGGAGTGTGTCACAGTAGGAGCACAATAAGACTGACTGCCAGGGTCAAAGCTTAGCTCACCACTAGCTAGTCATGAGCAGGTCACATTCCAAATGATGACCACAGTGAAAAGAAGCAATCCGATAGAAAGAGTAATTCCGGGAAGACTTCCTAGAGGTAACAACTTTTGAACTGTGTTTGGAAAATGGAAATTAAGTGAAATTATTGTCCTAGACTAAGACACAGTCCCGAATTATAAACAAGGTATAGTCCAACCTAGATTGTCCAGTCCTGGATAGGAGAGTGAGAAGAATTGTCTCTCTATTTTCTCACCTGGTTCTGAGTTACAACTGGAAGAGGCAGTAACTTTTGCTAAATCAGAAATAGCCTGGGGAAATTCAGAGAAATCTGGATGGACACAAAGTCCCCATATGGTTTCCACAAAATCTGGTCTGTATTCGGATCAAAATACCAAGAGCTGGTCAAATAGCTTATTGAAAATGAGACCTCCTCCAGCCAACTCATCTGGGTTTCCTCAATCCCCAAAGCAAGAAGGGGAAAAAGGCTCTCCAAGGAGGCACCATGCTCCCTGGCTCTAGGGTTAGACCTGTGTTGGAGAGAAGGGGGGTGAGGACTTGGACTGAAGTCCAGTGCCACAGCTAGCACAGTCTCGGGCTTGGCAGCCTCTCCGCCTTTATCTCACCCTCACCATTCCTTTCACTTTGACATAATAAAAGTGCAACTTGCACACTGTGTCGAGATTGCATATGATAATTGGAAACATGTGTCTGCTCTGGCATCCCTTCAAAGGGCTTGGGAGCTCTAACTTGGGCTGTCTTCTGATTGCAATAGCAATTCCTGAAGCTGGCTCTCCAGCCTCACATTCCTTCAGCTGCACCTTAGTGTTAACTCTTGCCAGGAGAAGCTGCTGCATACAGGGCTCGCTCCCAAGATTCTGTAGAGGCTGGCAGTCACAGGCCCCCAAGTGCACAGCGAGGTTCTGGGTTTGGCACCTGAGCGCCAACTTTCCACAGCACAAACTAGCAGGTTCACTTTCCTTTTTCCAGAGACAGCACACTGACAGGCTGACACCCAGGGTGTCCTTTGGGACACTGCGTAGACTGTCAAGGGATGTGATGCTGGATCCTCACTCAGCCAGCAGGGTAGTGTTTTGTATTATTTTGGGTTTTGCTGAAAAAATATCAGATGTCATTACCTCACCAGGAGATTCCTAGAGGACCTGACTCTTCACTAGAATCCTCCCAGGCTAGGTGACTGATAGGAGAGGCTGAGGCCCTTGTGCAGTTCAGCAAAAACTGAGTCTTTGATGTGAAATTTTCAAAATGTCATGAGCAACCTGGAGCAGGTGGAGGAGTAAGATGGACCCCTGTCTCCCAGGCTCTTATGCTCACATTGGAGGCTGAATGGAAGATGTGGGTCTTTCGGCTTTCAGTCTGAAAGTGGCTGTAGACCACGTGCCTACAGCACAGGGAGCATTTTTAACAGCTCCCATGTGATAGCCATGGTGCTC